CCTGGCCTTTCTTCTTTTTCTTTTTGGAGATATGGTCTTGTTCTGTGGCCTGGGCTAGAATACGGTAGTGACATCATTATAGCTCACTGCAACCTCAAACTCCTGGGCTCAAGCGATTCTTCTGCCTCAGTCTCCCAAGAAGCTGGGACTACAAGCATGTGCCACTGTGCCCATCTAGTTTTTCTATTTTTTGTAGAGTTGGGGTCTCAATGTTGCTCTGGCTACTCTGGAACTCCTGGCCTCAAGGGATCCTCCTTCCTCCGCCTTCCAAGTGCCAGGATTATAGGCGTGAGCCACTGCGCCAGGCCTAAGCAAAATTTCTGATTCAAATATTAGCAATTCAGAATTTGCAACAATATGAATGTGGCTTTGACTTTTAGCTTTTTTGTTCTATGCTACTTTTCTTCTCAATAACAGTGTATCAGGCTGAGGCAGTAGGATCGCTTGAGGCCAGGAATTTGAGGTTGCTGTGAGCTAGGCTGACGCCACGGCACTCTAGCCCGGGCAAAAGAGTGAGACTCTGTCTCAAAAAAAAAAAAAAAATGTATCATTCAAGCTCCACCAAAGGAATCACTGCTCAGGAGAAAAAGATTTCCAAAGTAAACAATAATTTCCTCTCCTGACATTTATTTGTAAAATAAAATATGTCTGGAGTTTCTCAACTTTATAACCTTTTGTTATTTCAATAGTATTAGATTTAAACAAAATATATTTAAATTGCTAATCAAGAAGATAATGTTTTTCCTAGTCAAAAGAGAAAAAGGCATTCTTACAGTTCACTGATAGTATTGATACATGTTAAGTCTTTCAATATGAGAAACACTTTGAGTGGATTATATATTTTTTGTATTAGCATTGCAGTTTAAGACAACTGATGATGTATTAAATATCAAACCTAAGGGAAGCACAAGCCCAGGAAATTATTAGGGGCAGGTTTGATGTTGATTTAACAGATTGATCATTGATAATTTGAAACATTTTTTTATATCCATTGCTAAGTTAGTCTCAACAAATATGATTACATACTGTGTGTACTATACTGTGTGCAGTGACAATTGCAAAATAAGAACAAGATAGCTCTCCCTTCAAGATAATTTAAAAATAACATATACTAACCTTAAAACATTTTAATTTTAACATAAAACATGAGTGCCTATCATTTGACTTAGGGCCATTGCTTTTTGTTAGAGTGTGGTCTCTGTTTGGAGTTCCAGAATGTCTTTGTTGCTTTAACCATACTCAGAATGAATAGTATTGAATAGTATGATTAAGTTTCTTTAACATTTACAGAATGCTTAAAGGTGCTTGTGAAGAAGAATGAGTGAGAAGGGTTCTACTAGCTCAGTTGTGTTCAGTGTGTGGTCCCCATGTTGGTGCTGATCCGCAAGGTACTGGTTAATGACAGATAAGTACACATAGTGAGAATAAGTGTTTACAAATGTATATAGCAATTTGACATTGCTGTAAATCCAAGCATATGGTTAGGGAACTCTCATGTTGAAGAGAGTGTAGACTAGTTTGGGTGCTGCTGAAATCTGATGTATCTGAGCTGCATACTAACCATGTGTAGTGCAACTGTGTTGGCCTACAAAAGATTAGATATATAAAAAAGGAAGGAGAGGCTCTTCACTACAGGTAGTTTGAGAAGCACTGTTCTAGGTGATTTGATAGTTTTTCCCTGTCTTTTATTTTTTAGTTGCTCATATATAATTCAGTACCAGGTTTTTCTGTGACTTGCCTTTGATTTTTTCCAAAGCATTTGGTTTAGTGTCCTTAGGCACGATTCTCATTTTGTAGTCATATTTATTTACTTTCTGTAATTTTTAAAATACATAATTATAATAAGCACAATTGTCATAAACTGGTCTGGCAGCAACTGACTCTTGATGACCATCCAGCTCAATTGCTGAGAGAAAAGGTATGCAGGCACACCAGAAAGGCACCTACTGGCCGTGGGTGTTAGTATGTTTTACAGAGCGAATGGTTTCAGAAAGAGCTGGTGTTCTAGTGAGCTGGTTAAATGGAGGATGACTAGAGCTCTCCTACTATACTTTAATACAAAATAATTTAGAGACAGGTACTTGTTAGTGTCCCGGAATGCATAAATATAGTAGAGGTTCAGAAAAGAAAGAAAACATGAGGAATGCGGTCCTCCAGAAGGCTTCCCAAAGGAAGTAGCACTTGGGTTGGGTAGGATTTAGGGTGCTCCTAAGGGATTCCCAGGCCAGGTGAGTGGCATAAACTAAGGCACTATGATGGATACCATATAGTTGAATATATTTTGTCTTTGTCATTTTTTACTCTAGAATGGGCTTTAGAGATGAAGCAGCTGGGTATTTTCATAAAGCAGTGAAACTAAACCCTGATTTCAGTGATGCAAAGGAGAATTTTTATCGTGTTGCAAACTGGTTGGTGGAACGCTGGCACTTTATCATGCTTAATGACACCAAGAGGAATATGATTTATAATGCAGCAATCCAAAAGGCAATTTGTTTGGGGTC